TTGAATAACAGAGGTGAGAGTGGGCATCCTTGTCTAGTTCCAGATTTCAGTTGAATGCTTCCAATGTTTCCCCATTCAATAGGACACTTGCCCCCAACTTCTGTAAATATTATAAATCCCACGATTTATTGTTTTTACTCCATTCAATTATATATTAAAGAAATTTAAAATAGAAAGTCTTTTGTACTTTACCATTTCCAAACTCTTCTTTATGAAGATCTGAATTCTCAGAAGGTATCATTTTCTTTCTACCTGAAGTCCTTCCTTTTATACTTGCATACTACAAATCTTCTGGCATTCATTTATTTTGAGTTTTAATTGCATTGAAAAGTATATTCCCCTTCATCTTTGAAATATTTTCACTACACACAAAATTCCTTTATTTTTTAAATTAACTTATTAATTTAAAGGCCTAGTTACAGAGAGAGATACAGACAGACAGAGATCTTCCATTTGCTGGTTCACTGCCCAAATGGCCTGATCCAAAGGGAGGAGCCAGGAGCTTCTTGCTAGTCTCCCATGTGGTGCAGGGGCCCAAGTACTTTCACTCTGCAGTGTCTGTGTTGCTATTAAGACCATCTGGTGAATTTTTATTCTAGATATTTTTAACTAATAGCAATTCTATTTAGGTATTTTTATATTTTGTATTTCTCTCCTTATTTTAAAATCTTTGTATATATACTTGATGTTTGTTTTAAACCCTTGTTTGCTTGCTCCATCATTTCTATCACTTTGGAGTGTGCATCTATTTTCTTCTAATAATTATGGATCGGTTATTTTTGCATGTCTACTAGTGTTTATTGGATGCCAGATATTATGAATATTGTGTTGTTGAGTTTCTAAATTTTGTGGCATTTCTTTATATTATAGATTTAATTTACACTAGCAGTTGATACTTGTGGATCATCCTGATGATTTTGAAGCTGTTGCTGAGTTTTATTAAGGCAGGTTTAGAATTTTATTTATTCTATCCCTGATTTAGACCGTTTACTAAAACATGATCTTTTGGAGTACCCACTGAATGTCTTGGATAAGCAATGTATCTTCCAGTTCTGGGCTGAATTCAAACATTGATCTGTTTCATCAGAGCTCTAGTAGTTGCTGTTTGCCTGACCTCTTGGAGTAAACTTTTCTACTGCCAGCTTAGTGTTCTGTATAAGCCTCAAAGTGTACCCTGTGCAGATTTCTGGAGCTCTGTTTCTGTGTAGCTCCATCCTCTGGCACTTTTCCCAGAAAATTCCAGCTGCCTCCTCAAATCTCTGTCTGTTCGTCTCAGTGAGATTTGCATGCTTGCCCAATTTCCTCCTCCCTGAACTGTGATCTCAAAGTACCTTCACATAAAGAAACAAGTAGCCATAGGATTTACCTGTTTCTTTCTTTTTTAATAATTGTTTCATATACTTTCTTCCCGTACTTTCTAACCTTTATGGCGGGAGAGTGAGTCTGGACCCAGATACTTCATCACTGCTAAATCTGATATTTCTTTTGCAAAGTTGTAATCATTTCAAAAAATAAGGTCTGACTGTCTCAAGTGGAAAGGCTTCTAGAAACATAATAAAATGGGCTGGCGCTGGGGCTCACTAGGCTAATCCTCCGCCTGTGGCGCCGGCATCTCGGGTTCTAGTCCTGGTTGGGGCGCCAGATTCTGTCCCGGTTGCTCCTCTTCCAGTCCAGCTCTCTGCTGTGGCCCGGGAAGGCAGTGGAGGATGGCCAAAGTGCTTGGGCCCTGCACCCACATAGGAGACCAGGAGGAAGCACCTGGCTTCTGGCTTCGGATCAGCACGGTGCACCGGCCGCAGAGGCCATTTTGGGGGTGAACCAACGGAAAAGGAAGACCTTTCTCTCTGTCTTTCTCTCTCACTGTCCACTCTGCCTGTCAAATAATAATAATAATAAAATGTAGTTTCATGTTACCTAACAATGTTTCATTCAGTGATGGACTGTGTATATGATGGTGGTCCCGTAAGATTGCGCCAGAATGGCCTGGTGATGTTATAGCTGCCTTTGTATATAAGGTCATTCTGTGATGCTCACACAATGAGGAAATCACCTAACAAAATATTTTTCAAAACATATTTCTATCATTAAATGCATAACATGACTACTTGGAATTACTTTATTAGCTGACTGGTAACCAAAACCACAAATTTCCTAAATCACATATCTAAAACTGAAGGATATGTAGTACGCTATATGAGGGTACTTCAGAAAGTTCACAGAAAATAAGTTTATTTTGGTGCAAAACATTTTGAAACCTATGCATATGGGGGGTCTTCAAAAAGTTTATGGAAAATGCAGATTATGAAAAAGCTATGCATAGATTTCAAAGTATTTTGTATTAAAAGTTATTATTTTTCTTCTTCTTTTTTTTTCTTCACAAGCAGAGTTAGACAGTGAGAGAGAGAGAGAGACAGAGAGAAAGGTCTTCCTACCATTGGTTCACCCCCCAAATGGCCGCTACAGCTGGCGCACTGTGCCGATCTGAAGGCAGGAGCCAGATACTTCTCCTGGTCTCCCATGCGGGTGCAGGGCCCAAGCACTTGGGCCATCCTCCACTGCACTTCCGGGCCACAGCAGAGAGCTGGCCTGGAAGAGGAGCAACCGGGACAGAATCTGGTGCCCCAAGTGGGACTAGAACCCTGGGTGCTGGCGCCACAAGCGGAGGATTAGCCTAGTGAGCTGTGGCACCGGCCCTAAAAATTATTTTAATTCCTTTTTCCATAAATTTTTTGCAGTGCTATCATAGTTTAGTTGTTTATTATATCATTTTTTGGGTCACCAATATATTCATATCACTAATCTGCAATTCATTTGAGAATGATTTATTTATTGTAATACTTCTTTCAGAAATGATTGAACATTCATTATTAAATTTGCTATGCTAATTAGCCAAATTAACCTCAACCAGCTTGAATTATGTTCTGCAGTTGTTCTTTTAAAAGAAAGAAACAATTGACAAGAAAACAAACTCAAATAGGAGACGTATTTTTTAAATATGTCTAAGGAATTTTCATTGTTGGCATAGGTTCTTCTATTTTTCTATGTAGTTCTGCAGCATGGTATGATGAAAAAAGTTTTACATGGAGTTCTTCCCCCTTAGTGCCTCTCTTCTTCCTCTAGTTCTATCTGTAGCACAAGGCACTCTGCACAAAAATTGTGTCGATGGAAAACTTACCCAGCTTTGCCTTCTCCATTCTGGGATCCAAACTCCAAAATGTTCTCTTCCTTCCTGTCTTACAATCAAGAACTTTCAGTGCTCTGCTCTCAGCTAGCAGTCCCAGTAGAAAACGACTTTCTAAACTAGAAGTTGGGAAACTACTGTCTTTGGGTTAAGCACAGACCACCATGTTAATAAAGTTTTATTGGAAACAGCCATGTCCATTAATTTATGTATTATTTATTGTTGTTTTTGTGTTCCAAAGTTTGGGGTTGAGTATTTTCAACAAGAATCATTTGGCTGTCAGAGCTTAAAATATTTACTGTGTTACCATTTGAAGAAAAAGTCTTGTGATACCTGCTGTAAGTTAAATCATACTGGGATATAAATGACAGGTGTTTAATATGTGTCTCCATATACATGCAGTTACATTTTTTAATAACAACTTTATTAAGATTAAATTCACATCATAAAATTCATACTTTCAAAGAATACTGTTCAGTGTGTGTGTATTCATGGAGCTATGCAACTATCAGCACTATTTAATTTTAGAATATTTTCGTCACCCCCAAAGCAAAGCCTGTACCCATTAGTAGTCATTTCTCAGTCTTGGTAACCACCGGTCTACTTTCTGTCTGTATAGACTTGCCTACTCTGGACATTTCATATAAATTGCACCACAGAGTACATGCGGCCTTGTGTATCTGGTTTCTTTCACTTAGCTTAATGTGTTGTAGATTCATTCATGTTGTAGCATGTATCGGTACTTCATTCCTTTTCATTGGTAAGTAATATTCCATTGCATGATATACACATTTTTCTTACCTATTCGTCAATTTATATGTATTATTTCTCCTTTTAGGGCTTTATGAATAATTCTGCTATGATCATTAGCATACAAGTAATAAATATAACCAGAAAGAAGGCAGGAAGATAGAACCACAGGAGGGAAGGAAGGAAAAATAGAGTAGGAAAAGAAGGAAGAAACAAGACGTAAAAGAGGAAGTAAGATTAGAAAAAGGCAAACATGAAGAGAAAATTTCTGAACTGGTAGTTAAAGCAAGTGACCTTTGAGTCATTTTAATGACTAGTTCCCTTGATCATACAGCTCGTAGTGAAAAATAAAAAAAAAAAAAACTAAATCCCGTCAGGCATTATTAATCCCTATTAACTTTACAGAGTATCTCTTTTAATTTTTATATGTATACAGATATATACTTTTTAAATAAAATCAGTATGTTATAATCTTTCATAACTGCATATTTGTAACCAACATAATGTTTTATTATATAGAAACAAATCACCTATATTGGACATTTCAGTTGTTTCTAGTTTTTCTTTATATCCTTTCCTTATTCATAATTAATTTCTTAGCTAACTCCTACAGAAAAGAAGAAGTCAGTCAACAGGTGAGTACAATAGTAAAGCTTTTGGTATGACTTACATTGCCCAGCTTCTATCTAAGAAGATCACAGAATTATATATAAATATATATATTTAATATATATAAATATATATATAAATATATAAATAATAAATATATCCCAATAGCACAGTCAGAACTACCAGTAAAGACTAGTACTTACTCTTTTTTTTTAAATTTCATTATTAATAAGAGAAGAAACTTCCTATTTTTCAAATGTTTTATGGTTTCCTGGTGGTCTAGTGGTTAGGATTTGGCACTCTCAAATGTTTTATGGACAGATTATCAACAATATGACTTCTTGGCAAGTCTTCTTTCCTGTAGCTTTAAACTAGATTTTAGGAAACTGGATTTCCAGTTAAACGAGGCATAACCAAATGCCAGATCCTGCTAACCATTCTGTGCCCTCTGGTTTTAAAGTCTCAACGTGCCGGGAGTCAGAGCTAGAGGTCATCCGATGCTTGAGACTGGCACTGACCGACGCCGTCAAGGACATTGTCCAGCAGACCGTATCCGTGATAACCTCCGGGAGGAACTGTGAGACAAACCCAGCCAAGCCCCGTGTCCCCGATCGTCTGCTAGAGAGTATTCCGAAAGAATGCAGCTACGTGCCACGAGAGACCCAAAGGAAGGAATCCACCAAAGGTAAGGGGATTTGTTTTTCATCAGAATCAGTGAAGAAGCTGTTTTCTAGGATATGCACTCTAGTGAAATTCTAAAAATTATAAGACTGATAAACTATATAAACCTTCCTCCCACCAAGCATATTTAGGAACCTTTTTTACTTTCGCCATGAGCCACAGGATCAAGGACATTAGAAATGGAAATGACTCCAATGGTCATCTTTATTTAACTACCAGTCCAGAATTTTCTGTGATATTTGGTGTTGATGTTGATGGTAATATTCACTGATTAGTATTCTCTGACTAGTCACATAATTTTCACTAACTTCTTTTAAATCTATTGAACAGTCCAAAATTCGTGCTCTATAGAAGATTGCTCTGATATTCAGTTTGATTCTTCTTTCCTTAAGTTTTTCCCCTGCGACCACCAGTTAATAGTTTCTTTTCTCTTGTTAATACACACACACACACACACACACACATAGCTTTTAGGACAAAAATAGTGCCCCATTTGGAAAACTACATGTGTTTTCCTGACACAGTATTTTTACCTCAATCCCTGGGATTCTGAGTTGAGAACATTATTCCTATTCAGAGGAGGGATCCGCCACGCATATTTGAGAATCGTCGTTATCGACACTGTCCGCTTATTGGGTTAGTCAAGTCCTCTCTGCCTAAATGTTCACTTCTATCCCAAATCTTTCAACATTCCCAGAATTTTTACAAGATACCCCTGCATGTGTTTTAAAGAATACTATTTTTGTGTAATTCCAAGTAAACTTTCAGTAAGAAAATTTTTAGATGAACCCACTAAAGTCAGTTGAAGGGACTAGCCTTTCTTTCACTCTTCTACGTGGAAATCCTAAATAATGGAGCTCTTCTCCAGCGACCTTCTATTACAAACTCAAATCAATTATCTACCTGTGACCTTTCATAGTCATGCTTAATTCTGTCCAAGCCTTATTAAACTGCCTTTGAGTCTAGTAAAGCCATTTAATTGAAAATGGAAAATGTCACCTTTTCATTACTTAAGTTCTTCCTTGTCAAAGAGTTGTGGCCAGATCTCCTTTGTTCTTGCATTTGGATATTTCATACATTTTAAGCAGTTCCGGAGACATATATCATGCCATACATGTAGCATTGTTTGGCCAGTGGCTTTCAAATTATTCTATTTATGAACAAATTTGTCTTCTATAAGCATATTGGAATTCCTCTATACTGTTTCAAAGAGCCTCTTGTCACCCAAAATGCTTACTTTATAAAGACCAGTTGTTAGCACTTTCCTTACTAAATAATACTTTTACCCATGGTCAACTACAATCCAAAAATATTAATATCTCTCTTAACTCTTTCCAAGAGAGAGACCACACTCACACAACCTTTATTACAGTATATTGTTATAATTGTCCTATTCTACTATTACTTATGGTGCCTAATTTATAAAGTAAGCTTTATGCATAAGTGCGTCTACATAAGAGAACGAAGCAGTATAGATAGGGCATGTACTCTCTGTGGTTCCGGGAATGCAGAGTCGCTGGAACACGTCTCATGCAGACAAGGGGCAGGAGCACAGTATAAGACAGATGATATTTATGTGCTGGACATTAAGTCATTTATTCAATAGATGTTACTCAAGTGAATCACCGTTGCATCCCAGGCACTGTATTTAAGGATCAGTACTCCTCTTGGTGCTTGAAGACCAATGTAACTGTTTCAAAATAGGTGCAAACCCCTGGGGCACGTACAATTCTTTGGTGTCTAAGAATGAAATTAAACCTTCCTAACATTTCACATGGAGATTGTCTCTGTAGCCCACCTTTGGTCTGTGGGGAGCCTGTTTTGTTTTGGGGACACTATGTGAGGAAGCCCAAGGACAGGAGAACAAGAGTGCCACACACTGTCAGAGAAGCACTGGGCTGGATCTCCTTACTCCTTTAGCTTTCAGTGAACAGGGATGGAGGAAAGTTGCCCTTGGTGTCACACAATCTAGTTTTAACAAATCCTCATGAAACACACACATGATTTAACACCTTCATGAAAATCAAGAAATCAACGAATGGTGAGAAGGCAGGGAAGAACAAACAATGACAAAGCAACAAAGCTCACACTTATTTCTGCTACTCACATGAGCTCTTTCTCAGACATATTTTAAGGCACAACTATGATGATCTAATGAGATATGTAGAGGGGCAAAAAATGATATCTGTGTGGAAAGAAAGTTTGAAATATGATTTCCTATACATTACTGTTAAGTGTGAGTCCCTCCAAAGTGAGTGTTGTCCTTTGAGATATTGCTTAAAGATAGTTTGAAGTCTTCTTGATGAACAAAAAATTTCAAAACTCAGTACCCAAAGACAAAAGCTCTGTAACTTTTCAATAATGGTTCAATTGATATATAATCATGTTCTTTGCAAAATTTGTCAGAACAGTGATAAATGTTTAAAGATCTTTTGTTGCAAAATCTAACCTAGTAAAAGATGAATAGTCACCACCTCGAGGCAACATTTGTCCTTCCTGACACAGTGAAAATGACAGAACACGGAAAGCACTCTGTTGACAAATGAAAATACATTTCTTTATCTCTTTGTCAGCAAATACTTTTACATAGAAAACACTGAAGATTTAAAGAAATGAATACTACAATACATTATCCAACAGGAGATTCACTGTATGGTTGGGTGAAAATTCAGTTGGCTGACAGAGCTCAGCTTTGGGGCATTTGCTCCGTTATGTTTGGAAGAGCAACTACAAAAGGAACTTGTTTTATTTTGTTTTGCTTCTTCGACAGCAGTTAAATAAAAGGTACACCTGAAAAGATATTTTCTCAACAGTAAATTGCTATTTTAGTGGAAAGAGCCCTTTATGGGAAAACTGTTGGAATAATAATCTTCATGCAAGCAGCGACATCTTTGGTGATGGATATTTATTAGTCAAATTCAGCAACACTCTTTGCCTGTTTCGTGGCTAAGACTGAAACATCAATGTCGTGTATTTTAAAATTCTATTTATTTATTTATTAAAGGCAGAGAGAGAAAAGAGAGATCTTCCATTTGCTGGTTCACTCCCCAAATGCCTTCAATAGCTAGGACTAGGTCGGGCTGAAGCCAGGAACTAGGAGCTCAATGCAGGTCCTTCCCGTGGGGGGCAGGGACCCAAATACTTGAGCCATCACTTACCACCTTCCGGAGTCTGCATTAGCTGGAAGCTTGAATCAGGAGCAGGGCCAGGACTCAGCCCAGGAACTCTGATATGGCACGTAGGCCTTTCAGGCAGCATGCTAACTGCTACAGCAAATGCCCACCAAAGCCACTGCCATGGTTTTGTCAGCATAGCTAATTATACCTTTGTTACATATGCATCTGTATTCTAATATACATATGTGTGGTCTTCATATTTTAGGTAGCAAACTAAACATAGTTTAATTCATTTTCCATGAACTTTTTGAAGAACCCTTGTTTGCATACTGGCTTTTTTTTTTAACCTATAAGAGCCATTAAAGCCTAGTATTGAAACAAATTGAACTTAGAACCTGACCTTCATATTCTGAAGCATTAAACCCAGATTTTAAATTTTATTTTTATTTGTCTGAAAGTCATGGTTACAAGTAGAGACGGAGAGACAGAGAGAGATCTTCCATCCAAGGTTCACCCTCCAGATTGCTGCAATGGCTAAGGCTGGCCAGATCCAGGAGCTTCTTCTGGGTCTCCCACATGGGTGCACAGGCCCAAGGAGTTGGATCATCTTTCGCTGCTTTCCCAGGCACATTAACAGGGAATTGGATCAGAGGTGGAGAACTCAGGACTCAAACCGGTGCCTGTTTGGGATGCCAGTGTCTCAGGTGGGGGCTTTACCTGTTATGCCACAATGCTGACCCCAAGCCCAGATTTTAAAAATAATAAAGGGTATTAAATAACATCATCCTTACTCAAGTTGTTATTTATTTTTCACCATTAACAAAATTTCAAAATTAATTTTAAGACATTATTTTGTCTTTATTTGTACAACTCTCCTTTTTTGCATATTGTAGAATCATAAATATGTATTTACAGTGATACATGTGTAGGAAGGAAGAAATGATAAACAAATAAATAGACATACCATATGGGATTCATCACAAGATTTTATTTTTTCATCTTTATCGGCTCTGAAATTGGGATGACTCCTAGAATATATTATATATCTATGGCTTAGCTAGAAGTCAACTTTGTTTAAATAAATTGTGTGACAACCTTAAAAGATTTCTCCCTGGTGAATCTGTAACACCATTGTAGATTAAGAATCCTTGTGACAAGTAGGATGGATTTATTAATTTGTTATCAGCCTAGAGGACCTGATTGGAATTTGCCTCAAGCTTTAATGAAGTAGTTGGGGATTTGAGTACTTGGAATCCTCAGAGTTTAGAAAGTATCAGTAGAAGTACAAGTATAAAGGGAATCGGAAATCTTACTGAATACCTACTAAGATTTCTCAATATTTGTCGTTAAATCCTCTTTAGGATAGAGTGAATGTAATATATGAGGGTACTTCGAAAGTTCATGGAAAAATGGAATTAAAAGATAGGCTTATTTCAGTGCAAAAGATGCTGAAATCCCATGCATAATTTTTCAAAGTATGGATTTTCCTTGAAATTTAAAATAGCATTTATTTACTTTGAGCCACGGAGAAAGAGACAGAGTGAAAGGTGGTAGGCGGGGAGAGAACCAGCGGTGCCATCCACTGCTTCACTCCCTAAGAGCCCTGAACACACTGGGGCTGGGCCAGGCCAAAACCAGGAGCTGGGAGCAGAATCTAGGTCTCCCACTTGGGTGGTGGACACCCAGCGACTGGAACAGCCTTCGGTGGTGCCAGTGCTGCCTCCCAGGGTGTGCATTAGCAGGAAGCTTGAACTGGGAGCGGAGCTGGAACTTGAACCTGGACACTCCAGTACGGGATGTGGGTGTCTCAAGCGGTGTTGTAGCTGCTGTGCCAAATAGCCTCCCTTTTCATGAGCTTTTTGAAGACCTCCTCACACAATCTTGTAAGTAAATGGTAATAGAATAAGAAGTATGAGACACAAACCCTGAAAGAACAACATATTTAAAATAATTTAAGAACAGAAAGATGGGAGGTCACAGGGAGTTTCTCCATACTTTTTAAGCCTCACCTAAATGTACCCATTTGAATGAAAAGAAGACATTTATTAAGGAGCTATTTTTTTTTACCAAGCACTGAACTAGGTACTTTCATATTTAATTAGTTACTGCAACAATCTTTTGAGGTTATTTAAATATGTGTTGGATTCAGTTGTTATAAACTTATATAAAAGCTACTCCAGTTAATTTTTAAAATTTGTTATTCATTTGAGAGAGAGAGAGAGAGAGAGAATTCCCATCAACTAGTTCACTCCCTAAATGCCCAGAATGGCAAAGACTGAAACTGCAAGTCAGAAATTCAATCCAGTTTCCCCAGCTGAACGTCAGGAACCCAGTTAAGAGAAAATAGCAGGAAGCAAGGGAGAGCACATAGAACCATCAGCTAAAAGGCAGGAGATTTCTTGGCAAATGTCCACATTTAAGGGGTGTTAGTAGAAAGTGGAACTAGTGTGGGACACAAAGAAACACAGAGGAGAAATAGATGGTAAACATGAACCAGTTATTGGCTCATTTATTCCACAAATACTTACTGAAAAACTGTTAAATGTGAGGTACTGAGCTCTGGAGATACAGTAATGCATGCTGGAGTTTATATAGAGGGTTCTTAAAACAGCTCATGGACAATGAAGTTAAAAGGTAAATTTAGGAGAGCAGGCATTTAGCCATCGAGACACTGCCTCTCACATCAGAGAGCCTGGATTCAATTCTCAGCTCCACTCCTGACTCCAGCTCCCTGGTAATACACACCCTGCAAGGCAGCAGCAGATGACAGCTCAAAACATGGGATTCCTGGCCGGCGCCGCAGCTCACTAGGCTAATCCTCCGCCTCGCAGCACTGGCACACCGGGTTCTAGTCCCGGTCAGGGCGCCGGATTCTGTCCCGGTTGCCCCTCTTCCAGGCCAGCTCTCTGCTGTGGCCAGGGAGTACAGTGGAGGATGGCCCAAGTGCTTGGGCCCTGCACCCCATGGGAGACCAGGAGAAGCACCTGGCTCCTGCCATTGGATCAGCGCGGTGCGCCGGCTGTAGTACACCAGCTGCGGCGGCCATTGGAGGGTGAACCAACGGTAGAGGAAGACCTTTCTCTCTGTCTCTCTCTCTCACTGTCCACTCTGCCTGTCAAAAAAAAAAAAAAAAAAAAAAAAAAAATGGGATTCCTCCCTCCCACACGGGAGACCTGGATTGAGTTGCTGGCTCCAGGCTTCAGCCTCTCCCAGCCCTGGCTGTTTGGGGCATTTGGAGAAAGTGAACCAGTAGATGGGAGCTCGCTCTATCTGTTGTTATTGCTCTCTCGTGCTCTCTCCCTCTTTGTTACCTTTCAAATAAATTTTTAAAAATCATTAAAAGAGATAAATTTTTGTTGCTGCAGAATCCTCTAGTGTAGCATGACAGATGATGAACAGGTAAAGGAAATAATTATTAGATGACAGTTAAATGCTGTAATAAAGGCAACAAAATGGGCTCCCATGTGTGAGGGATCAGGGGCTGGGAACAACATGAAGAGATTTGCTTTTTTTTTAAAGATTTATTTATTTATTTGAAAGGCAGTGTTACAGGGAGGTGGAGGCAGAGAGAGAGAGAGAGAGAGAGAGATCCTCCATCCACTGGTTCACTCCCCAGATGGCCACAACAGCTGGAGCTGTGCCAAACTGAAGCCAGGAGCCAGGAGCTTCTTCTGGGTCTCCATGCTAGTAAAGGGGCCCAAGGACTTGGGCCATCTTCTACTGCTTTCCCAGGCCATAGCAGAGAGCTGGATCGGAAGTGGAACAGCTGGGTCTCGAACTGGTGCCCATATGGGATGCCAGCTGGGATGTAAGGTGGTGGCCTTACCCGCTATGTCACAGCGCCAGCCCCAAAGAGGTTGCTTTGATTGGGAAAGTGAAAAAGCCAGAAGGAACCAGTCCTGAGGAGAGCTGGGATGATTCTGTCCTGGGTTCCAAGAGAGAGGAGAGGCTTAAGGGGGACTTAGAAGCATCAAAGGCTATGAGATCCAGCAGGGGCCCATTTGCATTTGTTAATTAGAACGACATCTGGGTCCTTCAAAGCTGCAGTCTTGAAAGATAAAAATATAAATGATAATTCTGAATTTTCTAGTCTTCATTTATGGGAAGTGGAAAAAAAGAACAGCTTTGAGATCTGGGGAATTTTAGGGAGCACACAGGAGACCCAGGTAGAGTTCTGTCGGAATGTGTCAAGCTCTCTTGCTCTACTCAACAATTTTCTCCGCAGAAATTAGACGTCCTCACACAACACAAAACCACGCAGTGGAACGCAAATGCTAATATTAATCATGCCTTTTCTTTCCTTTCTTCCCCAGGCTTCACAAGGCTTGCTGCTCAGGCAGTATCTATTGTAATCAGCAAGTTACCTACGGTGATTGCATGTTTGCCTCCCCCAATTAAATACTTCTTTTTTCTGTCTGAGAGAAAAATGTCAAAAAACTTTGTTGAATTGAAGAAAGCTGGCCTGCTTGTCTGGAACTTGATTGTAATTATACGTCGGATATTTGAGGATGGAAACACTGTGGAACTCTTAACAGGTGCCTCCCTTGACAGATGGAGCAAAGACAAACTCGGTTTAATTTGCGTGTGTTTGGAAAGCATCATGGGTGAGCAGTGCAGCCCTAATCAAATGGCCCAAAAGGTCGTACAGAGCATTGAGCAGCAAAAGCCCAACTGGATTGAACGCCAATTGTTGAAAGCAAGGAAACTGAGCACTGAATGGTAAAGTCATGTTTTTTTTACCCTGAATTTCATCAAAGGCTTCCACACTAACAAAATCACCAGAACACAACAGCAACAAAATATTGTCAGATGGGCAGCGATGGTTATTTGGCTAAAGTCATGGGAACTTTGATGAATATAGAGAAAAAAAGATAAGTGTCCCATTAAAAGCGGGGTTGTTAGACATTCCTTGTCTTCATAAAATTTGAACCTCATTGCTACGCTGGAACATTATACTTGTTTAGTCACCGTCTTAAGGTTTCTGATTAAAAGGGTGGTAGTTAAACCCAGGAGACTTGGGTTTCACCTCTTTGCAGTGTGCAAAGAGGTATCTAGTGGGTAGCCCAAGGCGTTTTGTAAATGGAGTGGGCATGAAGATTAAATTAAGAAGGAATTAATGGATATAAAAGGCTTTTTATTGCTTTCTGTGTACCTGATTGTCTAAAAGGTACACATTTGTCATCTGGTGATGTAAGACTCCCAGAGGGCAACTGGGGCATATCACACTCGCGCTATAAACACCCCCAGCTGCTTCTGTATGAAAATGTCAGTCTTCTTGTCGGTTTGTCACTGAGAGCTAAGTGATTTGTGATACTGCAAAGATTTTTAAGGGTCTCTGATGAATTTAAATATGTACCTTGAGTCCTCCTGTCTTAAGATTACCCTTTGGATATAGGATTGCATGATGCTGATAAAGGAATTCCGGTTCAGATGGTCTTTAGATCACTAAGTCAGGCCTCTTTTTAAACACGCACCACACTGTCCCCCCTTCTGTGAAAATAGATCTGTGTGGCTAGCAGATACCGGTATAACTTTTGGCCTGAAATGACTAAAAGTTGTGGTTACTCCTAGTAGTTCATAGCCCTGCGAGAGATCAGTTTTTGGAACTCAGATGGGCCAGAACAAATTCCTTCTTGTGCACGTTATTGAGTCTCTCCAAACCTCAGAGATGATACTAAGCTGACAGAATTCTTTTGGAAAATTAAATAGAATTCATAAAGTTCTTAGCATCAAGCTTAGAACTAGTAAGCATTTGTTATTTATAAACTCTATTAAAATATATTCACTGGTTAGTATGATGATAACTAATACTCTTTACTTGTCTGTGTTAATCTAGAAGACTTTATATTAATGCAAATGGGCCAAAGTAGCTCAGCATGATTTTCCTGGTCTTGTCATACACTGACTCCTGGAAATTTACTTGTGGGATGTCCCAGGGGTGGAGATAACAATAGCAGTCAGGAAAATGCTTGGTAACATTGACAATGACCTTCTTAATCTTTATTTTTGCATTCAATATGCATTTACAGGTTTTAATCTAATGACTAAAAGATTAAGGCCAGATGTCCTTATACATGGCAGTGGGTATACAGGGAGAGAAAAAAAGAAGAGTAAAAATAGATCTGATTATACCTGTTACAAAATTAAATTTATGATACTGCTGATTTAGCATCCCCTCTATCCAAAAAGCTCCATTTAAAGCACTAAGTAACACATGCAGGCTTCCATACAGGAATCCAAAGGTTAACATTGTTTTCCCTCAAGTACTGATTTTAATTTAAGCATTAATACCTTTGCTGTATCCTCTAGTAGGGAGTTGTCTAGCTGATATTTGGCTAGATAATAATAATGGGTCAAGAGATTATTTAGTTATCTCTTACAACATGCATCACAAATGAAAAACTGTTGATTTAAAGATTGTTTTACAGCCCTCAAAGATTCTGAGATAATTATGAAAATTAGCACAAGGCTATGTCTTCTTCACTGAATATTTGTCACAAATCAATGGCCACTGAGTTCAGAAATCTACACGTTGAGAAGAAAATGTATTCAAACCGTGAGGTCTATGTTGGATGGAGGATTTTCTTAGCTTTACCGTAATTTTTTGAAGAAGATGGTTGTGTAAGCATCTAAACTAAAATACCCGTAAAAATACTTACAGTTCTTCTGTAAAGAGAAATTAAATCTTACATTCTCATGAAGATAACCCTGGGTCTATATGATGTCACTGAATTAGAGTTCTTTCCCTTGCACACGGATTTCACTTTGATTTTATGGAGATGGTGAGAAGGACTGCAGAGGGAAAGGTGGCAGCTGCACGCGTTGCCTGTCTTGCATACTGCCTGAAAGCATCCCTATTCATTAAAATAACCTTCACTTTGTAGCAACACTCAAGCTGTAAACAGTCAACTTAGATTCTGGAGAACACACAGCCCAAAAAGTAAAGAAATGTCTGTCTTTGCAAAGTAATTTGTCGAGTTGAAGATTATTGTTTTTCATCATGGTGACCCTGACTCGGCTGGCTGGGTGCATATACAGATTAAGATTAATGCAGTTATTCCTTGGCTAAGGTCTGCCTCTTTCAGGGCACATTCTCCCTAATGACATGATTGATAGGCAGTCCCAAATCCAGAGAGGAACTCATTAATCATAGCATTGACTGAATCCAATCATTTGCTTCACCTGCACAGTGATGGACAGGAAAGGATACAATTCAGGGGCTGACACTGAGAGACTCTTTTGTCAGAGGGCCTCAACTTCTTCAATGTCAGCGTCTACAAAACCTGACAAGAAATTTTGCTTTGCAACCTGTGTGCAGTTCCGAAAACATATTTGCAAACTTCTCTTACTGTAACAAGGTCCTTTTTTTTTTTTAATGAATATCTGTTAGAGTCAGACTTGCTTTATTTTTCAACAAGGTTTATATGATCTTAAAGTTCCTTTTTTGGTTGTCGAGAAGGATGTTTTGAAGGTACATGTGGAAGCAATAGCAAAGTTAATGTCCAGCAGCTGGGCATCATTTGGTTCAGTCTGTAGGTCAACGGCACTGACTCTTAGCAGAACTAATTTTATAATCATGGCAGAATCTCTGTAATGAACTGCAGTATACAGCTGATTACTCCACAGTAAATTCCATTTAGTTTGGGAAACAGTGGAAAAACCGTGAGTTTCCCTAAGAATACATAGATTGCAAAGTCTAACATGATCCTAATAGTAACTGTATAAGAAAATTAGTGTAGAATATGTATGATTTATGTTGAATATCATGTGATTTTTTTGAACGGGTATCATTTGAAATGTTTGGCAATTTAGTGTTGTCATCTGTTATTACCATCTCAATATTGTTCAAAACCAAGAATAAGTATATGGCGTCTTCTTAAGGAAATGTTTGAGACCTGTATCTTCCACGTTCCTGGTATGGTGATAGTAGACCATTTTTCTGCAAGAATAATACCAGTAGTGACTTTTTCAAAGTACAAAGATACTTCAGAGTGGTTGTGGCAAATAGAATTAAAAGATAAGTTTATTTTGGTACAAAGAAAATTGAAATTTGTGCATACTTGTATCAGTTACAGAAAAGGAACAGAAGAGGGGCTTATTTTTTTAAAGGCAACAAGTGTGAAAGGCCAATTTAAAATATCCAGTGGAGAGCACATTGCCACGAAGCACCCATCCTATATTTAGCATAATAGTCTCTCCTTTTTGACACTTTAATTAGTCTTTAATGTGTTCTAAGACAGGTGTAAGGAGGGCTCTACAAAAGACAGAATACCAAAGCTATTTCTGGCATCAAAGATACTTTTTATCCTCAAAGAGAAAATACAAATTATTTCTTCCACGTTCTTAAAAAGAAATGTTTTATTTCCATCCCATGATGATAGCAATTTCAACAATTGCAGTAATAGGAAAATGTTTTATAGATAGGAGTATAAATGCAATAAAGCATTTTTAAAGAACCGATTCAATTTTTTGAAAATGCTTTCAGGTGCTTCATTCCAAGGCCCTGCGTTTGTAAGCCTCGGCAGTTTGGGACAGCCTACCTATGTGAATCAAGTCTGTCTGGAGCTTTGGGTACCAGCATTCCCTCAGCCCTGCACACTCGAACTCTAGGATCCTCTCCCATCTTTATAATCCTCCACCGCTGATCCATCCATGCTTTCTTTGTATTCAGTGCATTGATGACAACAGAGAAGAGCCCAGCCTTAGAAGAAGGAGATACTGCTCTTGAACTGACTGAGCAGAAAATAAACACGATGGTTCTGGATCTCTGCCACAAACCAGGTGGCAGCAAGTACCTGAGGCAAATTTATCACATCATGCGGCTCAATGAGGTAGGGAAACGGCCTTTTTACCGAGCAATTAGGTGTGTACTGGCCTGAGGCAGCGTCTGTTGGCAGCTAAGGGTTACTCAAGGAGGTGATAATACTTCTTCAAGTCAATACCAAACTCAATATTGCATTCTTAATAGAATCTATTCAGCTCCGGCTGTTTTGCATTTGTACAGGAAAAGCTTCCCCGAAACAATGTAGGTTTTATTTATATGGTTTAGACAATAACATGGCTCATAAATCCAATTCAGTTCTGAATCGTTGCAGAATGGAGGTGTAGTTTGGGAATTGTGTGTTTGTGGCCATGAAACTGATGTTAAAAATCTGGTACTTGTGAGAGGGAAGAGTTTTCTGAGGAGAGATGTAGCTCTTTTTCTGAAGTCAGCACACTTGTGCCAGTGAACTTGGCTATTCCTTACATAATACAAAAACTTCAGAAGGATGTTGGAACTATTTGGGAGCAACCAGCTTAACCCAAGAAAATTCATTAATGCACAAACACCGAGCAGAACCAACGTGATGCCTGGCCGTCTCTTTGCTCAGGCAAGACCCTGACCTTGCATGTTTTGGGTCGTGGTAGCAAAAATCTAAATAGCAGGTTAGCTCAGCTATTTACTTAAAACACTGCAAGTTTATTGATTTCATCAGGTTTTTTGCTCTTATGTATCTGAATAGACTGTGGCATCTATCACTGTGTTTATGTCTTCAAAGACATGAGTGAATTTTTCTACAACAGTGAAAATGTATATCATAATGTGAATACAATGTATTATATCTCAATGATAAAGGCCTCAGAAACCATACATTTCCAAGGGTTTATTTAAATTCTACAACAACATTTTACAACTCATTTATATAAATGCTCTCCTCACCATTATCTATCTCTAAGTTATTTCAAGTAAAACTTGTTTTCTGATTCTCATGGAGCTGATCAACCAGTCAATAAACAGTCAATAATAATGTATTCAGTGGTAACCTGAGAAGGATGGAAGAAGTTGGTAGCTATGAAAAATGACTGTGTCTTTAAGAGCTCAGTCTGTAGTTGTACAAAACAGCCCAATCTACTCAGCCTCAGTGATGTTCACTCATAACTTGCTTGTAGTCTCTATTTGGGAAATGCAGGAACTCCTCTCTTGACCAACTGAAAGACTTCAGTTGTGAAGTCCTGTTCCTCATTGATGTGTCCACCTGGCCCCCCTGAATGGCCAAAGTGACCGTGGTAACTTGTGAGGAACAGATGTTGCGGTATGACTGCCCTCAGGTTTTTCCTTAGTGAAGCAGAGTTAGAATAAATCTGAGGATAACTCAGTAACCGAACGGCTGGTATAGATTGCCAACGGGTAGAACAGTCCTGTTTTCAAAAGATCCATGATGCAAAAATAAAAAGAGTAATAACCAAGAAGCAAAATCATCATGAATTCAGTTGGGTATCTTTTGGCCATCAGCCATCTAGTATATTCTGGAAAGTCAAAGGCTGTTCTTCCCTCACAAAACCTGGGTAATTCTGAGGCAGAAATTCTGACCAGGTACACCATGAGATCTGCACTGGGGTACCCCACAGCATTTTGATCAGTTAAGCACAAAGTGGCAGTTTTGTCTTTTGTGACAATTGGATGTATTTTCTGTCATGGTAATGTCTGTCAGCTGCTGGGCCAGGGATTTGGCAGTCTGCTGAGAGGCTTGGTATTGCAAGGTAAGAGGCATAATCTTAGGTGAGGCTGGAAGCAAACAAAGTAGGACACGTGTGCCTTGTGACTATTGTGAAAACACAGGCCATAAACCCAAGCAACACAGGGGTAAGTGGCTATAGGATACTTAGCAGCCCTTCTTGTACTGTGAGACATAGCTATGCCATGGCCCAAACTGCATTGTAATGTTTGCTCATTTGGTGAGTCATGCTGTGAATCTTCTGCAGCTGCAGATGTGCTATTAAATATTACTTGAAAGTGTGATATAAATAGAGAAGTAATTATGGGTTCAGGACCAGGTGAGGGGAAGAATGGATGTACCATTGATAGAGGCAGAGAAGTTACAAGGGAAATAGGGTTGGAGGATGCTTTCTCTTTGAGGTAAAGGTAAGATGTGTGAGCAAAAAGTCCAGTTGTCATTTAGGTCCTGGCATGAGCTCAGATGGGAGAGGTTGTGCATGTAGATTTGATGCCTGTGATGAGTATGGTTAACTGGGGGCATTGTGGTAGAGCGCTTCCATGGAGAGAAGCAAAGAGGTGAGGGATAGAAGTGTTCAAGAAAGGACAGAAATCTCCTAAAGCCCTGATTAGTGGGAACTCTGACTAAGGCTGCATCAGAGTGCAGGAATCTGAGGTTTTGAACAAGGAGAGGGAGTGAGGGATGTCAGTATAGCAGAGTAACACGGGAGAAAGCACCATCTTGTTCACAACTTGCCACAGAGCACTCTCTCTATCTTGAATAGTGGTAACAAGAGTCAGAATACAGTCAGGTAAGGGGAAATCTATAAAATTACTATTAGCCAAAGCAAGGCAATGTTTTTCTAATGAAGAATATTTTTATTCTTTTTTGAAATTCTACACACAAATCATGATGGAGAAAAATTTTGTTTCCCTATACTAATCTAAATCTGGGCATACAATTCTTTCATGGTGACTTTATCATCATAGAAATATATCTAGAAAGAGTCTGTATGGGTGTCACTCCATCAGTCACTACAAGATTAATCTTTCTAAAGAGGTGTGTTCTGCAATGAATGAGTTGAAGGATGACTATAATTGTTAACAAGTAGTGATTTCCTAAGATTTTTAGGGTTTTAGGATAGATGTTTAGAGTTTTAGGATATTGGCCGGCTCACTAGGCTAATCCTCCGCCTTGCGGCACCGGCACACCGGGTTCTAGTCCCGGTCGGGGCGCCGGATTCTGTCCCGGTTGCCCCTCTTCCAGGCCAGCTCTCTGCTGTGGCTAGGGAGTGCAGTGGAGGATGGCCCAAGTCCTTGGGTCCTGCACCCCATGGGAGACCAGGAGAAGCACCTGGCTCCTGGCGTCGGATCAGCGCGGTGCGCCAGCCGCAGCGTGCCAGCCACAGCGGCCATTGGAGGGTGAACCAACGGCAAAAGGAAGACCTTTCTCTCTGTCTCTCTCTCTCTCACTGTCCACTCTGCCTATCAAAAAAAAAAAAAGATTATTTAGAGTTTTGGAATATGAAATTTGTCTTCCAGGGCCAACCCAATGGGCATTCAGAGCACAGGACAAAACACAATAGACTGAGACCAGATATGTGACTTCTCACCCCAACTGCTACTGAAGCCTGTGTAACCTCATGCTGGTCCCCTAACCTTTCAGAGCCAGCCGCTGAGTGCGGTGTTGGGCTGTGGAGGATCTCAAACTTGCCCTGGGCTGTGGTTCACTCACTTAAACAGGAAGATCTGATTGCGCCAGGTCTGAGGTTGGGCTTTTCTGACAGTGTCCCAGGTGAGGCTAACTCATCTGGTCTGTGCCCCGACTTTGAGTAGAGAGGGCTTTTTGGATGACCTCTGCCGTCCCTTTCAGCCCAAACATTCCAAGGTTCACCTGAACCCCAACTTCAAAGAAAAATTTTATTATGGGGTCGGGTGTTATGTTGCAATGAATTAAGCTGCTGCTTGGGAAAAATACATCCCATGCCAGTTGGAATCCTGGCTAATCTGCTCCCCATCCAGCATCTTGCTAATGTGCCTAGGAAGGCGGCAGATGATGGGCACATAGTTGGGTGCCTGCCACTATGTGGGAGACCCAGATTAAGTTCCAAGTTCCTGGCTTCAGCCAGGTTCAATCCCAGCTGTTGCAGATACTGGGGAGTAAACCAGTGGATGGAAAATCTCTCTCACTGCATCTCTCTGCCTTTTAAATCAGTTAAGTCTTTAAAAATTTTTATTGTGACATACCAAAAATCAAAAGAATGTTTATTTTTTTCACTAAATGACAATAATAAGCATTTGTTAGTTGACAGGAAACTTACTGTCATTTTAATTTGTTGTCTTCTGGCAAGAGTACCATAGATAGATTAGGACTATTCACCTTACATATATTTGAGTGGAAAATGGGGTATAACACAATAATTTGTTATTTTTTTTCCCAGTTCAGTACTGGCAGTTGGAGAATTAGAATTACATATTTTGAGCTTCTGTTGAACATTGGTATTTTTCAGTCCGCAATATGGAAATAGAGTTTAGGAGTTTGCATTACAGTTAATTCTGCGTGGAATGAGACAGCCTGCAACACAGTATCACAATACTTAGCACTCTTGAGCCCTGAGCAAGTAGCAACTGCACTTAATGAACAAGCAGCCTTGAAGTTTTCCTAATGGTGCACCTGAGTTAACTTTGGGAGCCCAGTCTGTTAACAGATGAACCAATGTCAAGACAGTGCCTGTTACGGAGTTTGGTGGGTCAAGCATGCGTTCCGTGAGAATTTGTTAATGGCTTTCTAATCTGTACTCGGTGTTAGGTGAGCCTACTGTTGATGAGTTTATTGCAATGTTGATTGATCCTCAGCTGTGTATCTTCTGAAAATGTATTCTTCCTGAGGCAAGTAATGCCGCGTAATCTAGCAAATATGCTGAAGGAGTAAATTCAGATATTGATCAGTTTATTTTTAAAGAGAATATATGCCTGTCACCGTCGTGACTTGTCATTTTCCCCCCCTTGAAGGAATATTTAAAAGAACAGCTGTTTTCTATAAATGGCTCAGAGGAAAAGCCATTAGTGGTCCCACCTCGAAGGATGACCTTGAGGAGTGTGGAAGATCAGCCTGCCTTTAACCCTTTCCACGTGCACAAGGTGTTTAGGGAAAGCATGCTAGATCAGGTATGTCAGTGTCCCGTCAATGTGTGGTTTCTTCTCACGAATAAGAAAATGATTCTCTTTCGAATATTCACTCCTAAGCTTCTGATGCTCCGGAACCAAAGGACCTGTTCTTATTTACGTGACCTGGACAAGTTGACTTTTAAAAGTTCTTTTTACCTTCTTCCTATTTGTCAAACTGATTCATATGTGTGTTCTGCAAAACTTGAACTTTTTGCCGGGTCAGTCTTCCATGGACAGAGGGAACATCTGTTGGGCTGTGTCTGCGGAAAGCCGGAAACACCAGGCATTGTGTTTCTTTTCTCCCCTCTCTCGCCACCACCATCCCTCCATACATTCACCAAACACCTTGCAATGTTAGGAATCTATCAGAAACCAGAAAATAGTTTAACATGAACCACAGAGTATTGAGTTCCAAATTAAGTGATGTAAGGCAAATTTGCTCTTTATAACACACTCCCAAGTTTAAAAATGAATTTGCTAAGAGTGACCCTAAAGGCAGGATATTAGGAATAAAGTCAACATGATAAACACCGCACATTTTTAAGCATAAGGTTGCGCCATTGTTTCAGCTGCACGTTTCAGTCGGTACTTTAAAAAGATCATCTTTCTGCCGAAGTTGCTCTTGCTTTTGTTCATTCTTTGGGCGGCTTTTTTTTCCCAGAAACCTCTTGACAGACAATTTGAACCAACAGGGCCACGAGAGAAGGATTGCTTGACCTAGAGCGCCGATGAAAATAAGAATTAAAACAATGGCCTAATTCGGCATGCAGATAATATTTTTACCGTGCCTGTTACAGCTCCAGTCCACATTCATCAATACTGTAGTAGAATAAGACCTTCAAATGCTGACAACCCAGGGCAACGTCGTCCTATTCTATGACAGGAATGCAGTGCTCGATTAATCAGCAAGTGACAGGGGTAGCTCTTGTTGGATTCTAAGCATCAGCCTGGTTTCTTCTTATCAAACCATTTAGGTTTAAGGAGTAAACGCATCTCGAGTGCTTTAAAACCACATATATTGTACAAGTTTGAGTTTATTGACTGCACTGCTATGTTGGACATTAGATTGCCGCAAACCATAAATAATTATTGTAACTGCTAAATTATCCTTACTACATGTAAAAAAACGTGCTTTATTGAGTTCTCAATTATAAGCTTTTTTTTAATGGCAATGGTTTTCCTTGCTCTGTTGTGAAATTATCCATTAATAAAAAAAAAGTCATTTATGTTCTGTACACTTACAGGTCCTTATAATCTCCCTTTTAAAACATTTTTCTAACCAAAAATGTAAATTAATAGTATGTTACAATTAAGGTATATCTTACATTCAGTCATAGTACTTTGAAATCCAATTTTTGGATGCTAAAAAAGAGGTAAAGCATAAGCTGAGTTATATACATATATCCGTCAATTGTTTTACTTTTCTTTTTAGGGTTGCCCTCTCATAGAAACTTGTTGAGTGAATGCTATTTACATTTGGAAGAATAACAGCTCAAGAAAGTGACTTATATTTTTATAAATAATGACTACATCCTCAAATGGATTTATGAATTAATTGCTGTCTTATTGGAATAAAAGCTTTCTTCTGTGGCCATGATTGATGTTTGCTGTCTAACTCCTTGTTCTGACCCCCCTCCTTCTTAGTTAGTCTACCACAGCTGGAGCTTTAATTTACTGATCATATTAACTCTGATTAATAACTAACAATAGTGTCTTCTCATTTATCAACAGTCAGCCATCACAAAATGGAACTGGAACTGGTCGAAGTTGCTGCCAAATTATCTGGGACTGGGTAAGACGACCTTCAGTGTCCTGCTCAAAAACAGGTAATGAGGTGGGGGATCTGCTGAGGAGAAAGGTTGTGTGTGTGCATGAGCACCATGCACACACTTTACTGGCATGATTTTGGGAAACGTGAAAACATTATTTGGAGAATCCTTTGTTTTCTTGTTTTCCAGTATTTTATCTTAGAAAAATATGGCTAAAATTATAGGTCTCTACTTTCTAGGTGCTGTTTCTGTGGTAAATATTTTGCAAAAGGCAGTAAAATTTGCTTCCAAGGTGAAATAAGTTGATTTTAATCTGCATTTTAAGTATTTTTGACTTTGTGTATTTAATCGTTCACTTTTGTAAACACCAAAAGTTATTGACTTGAATGTTATTATAATACTATACCTTTGTTTACAACACTTTAATGAACCCATACAAAATGCCAAGCCACATTAACTAGTCTAATCAGGGGAAACATACAAGTGAAACTGTCATGATTGAATTTTCTACTTTTCAGCCAGTAATTTTGGCACTGTCTTGCTTTAGCTCAATTGTATATTTCTTTACACACATGCATCAGCACAACACAAGAAAATGGTGATGTAGTTTCAGTTTAGAAACCTGAATATGTAATTTATTTTGCACAAAAGTTTACACATTTTCCTTCTATTTTGGATTCTTTAAGAAAGATGGTTTTTAAAAATATGCTTTAAAAGCTTTTAGTAAAAACTATGAAGTGTAAACTTTAAAAGTTGAGTTTCTCTATAAAATATATTTTCAAGCAAGATATATATGTATGAGACTCGTGTTATTATTCATATATCATCTATTTGCTTGTGGTTAGGTATCAAAATTATCTTACATCCAATGTTTGTGATATAGAATGTGTTTCCATATATGTTTCCAAAGAGTATGTTGAGTATCATTTTTTCTAAAAAAATAATAATGACAATGACATACTAGAATTATAGAATCCTCCTTGAGAAATCTGGGTACCTATAAGAAAATATCTTAAGAGTGATTATAGTATTTCCCAAATGGAGGTTTATAAAAAGCCGGGGGAACTTTATTTCCAATACAAGCTGTCATTCAGATGTGTAGTCACAATGGTATGCCTAATATTTCACTCCTGAATTGAGCTCACCCCACCATCATGGCCAAAGGCAAAGCACCTAGAGGCCTCTGCATGAAGGCCAGACCTTTTCCTCTATAAGCTTACCACCTGGCCAGCGCCGCGGCTCAATAGGCTAATCGTCCGCCTTGTGGCTCCGGCACACCGGGTTCTAGTCCCAGTCGGGGCACCGGATTCTGTCCCGGTTGCCCCTCTTCCAGTCCAGCTCTCTGCTGTGGCCAGGGAGTGCAGTGGAGGATGGCCCAAGTGCTTGGGCCCTGCACCCCATGGGAGACCAGGATAAGTACTTGGCTCCTGCCATCGGATCAGCCGCGGCAGCCATTGGAGGGTGAACCAACGGCAAAAGGAAAACATTTCTCTCTGTCTCTCTCTCTCTCTCACTGTCCACTCTGCCTGTCAAAAAAAAAAAGCTTACCACCTGGCAGGTAGTCAGCCAGACTGTCCGATTTGCACTCAAGTCCTGAGAGGTGTTCCTATTCTGTCCTGAAGTTTTCTGGAGCCAGTCCTCTTGTGACTGACAGTTACATAGTGTGCACACGGTATTTGAATATCTGTCTGGAAACAAAGTAGGAGAGGTAAGTCATTTTTTCCCTCTGCTGTTTGGAAAGTTTCGAGTTTATGTAGATTATCTGTATTTATGTTTTAATAATTTTCTTAGCTATTAATTGCTACTTACAGTCCACTTAACGGTACTCTGGAGACAACACGTCCTTCAAAACTTACTGCACTTGCTTGGCGTAATATTCACTTCCAAGTGAATTTGTGCTTTAGCCAGAATTGAATATTGTTGTTTTTGCTGAACAACTTGAGATAACTTCAGTTACATCACTAGCTGTGAAAGTCTATTTCCCTGGACATGTGTGGGGTGAGTGGGAGAAACAAACTTGCACAAATTTAGCCAGCAATAACAGGTCAAAACAGTTCTCTTGGAAAAGGGTCATGAATTTTTAATAGAAACAGCTAGAATCTCATCTTAATAAGAGCCTTAGATTTTTTAGGAATGGTATGAGAAGCATCCTACTGAAAACTAGCATGCACCACAAGCCACAATGAACCTAATTGATCTGTCTCAGAAAGATGAAAGACACCTGAGAGTTTTTAATTTCTTCTGTCACTTTCTCATTTATTTTAAGAATGTTATTTATGAGTTTTGATTAAAACTGGGCTGTTATTTTCTCAAAGACACTCTTATCTGAAAATGCTGACTATTTTTAATTAGGGCATTGACTTTTTGACAACACGGTTATCTGAAAGATACGTATTGAAAACAAGAGCATAGGACATGGAGCTTCTGGAATGAGAATTGTATAAGCCACCCACATCTACAAAGTGATACTTTATCCTCTATCCATGGTTTTTGGGGTTATAAAAGCCCAAGATGAGAGTCTAGAGCAGCTCAGCTGAATCTTCCTAGTTCTTTCTGCCAAACGCATTAACTAAACAAATCACTTGCCTTTTTTTGTTGTTGTTCCTTTTATTGATAATGTTTGGACAAATCTGTTTCCACACTAAGGATGTAATGAGCCTGTGAATGTTGCCTGAGGAATACTGTTATAAACAAAAGTGAACTCAAATGCACAAGGGGATAGGCATTTGGTTTATGAGTTAAGATGCCCAAGTCTTGAACTGGAATACCTGGGCTCAATACCTCACTCCAGCCTCCTGATAATGCAGACTCCTGGAGCAGCAGTGGTGGCTCAAGTAACTGGGTCGTTGCCACCCACACCTGAGACCTGCATTCGGTTCCCAGCTCCTGGTTTATGCCTGGCCGAGCTATGACTGTGGCAGACATTTGGGGAGTAAACCGGCAGACTGGAGCTGTGTGTATGTTTGTGTGTGTGTCTTTGCATCTCAGATCAATACCTATGAAAAATACATAAGCATGAAAAAATATGGGGGAGGGAATAATTTCTATTTGCTTCTTAGTCATCAACTTTCATATACAGATTGACTACCTCTTTTCCAAAATGCTTGGGATCAGAGGTGTTTAGGACTTATTCAGATTTTGGAAAACACACACACACACACACACACACACACACATATATATAATACATAATTAGGTATCTTGGAGATGAGACCCATGTCCAAGTGCAGAATTCATTTATGTTTCAAACATAACATACACATAGCCTGAAGGTAATTTTATACGATGTTTATAGTGCGCCTGTGTTTTTGCTGGTAGCCATCACATAAGGTCAGGTGTGGAATTTTCTAGTTGTGTTGTCATGTTGGTGCTCAGAACGTTATGGCTTTTGGAGCATTTTGGATTTGGACTTTCTGGATTAGTGATACTCAGCCTGCAATAAGCAAACCCTCTGTGGACTTACTATCTCAAGACAGACAGAATGACTCACCTGCGAAACAAGAGGAGGATGGGACAGCAGGGTTCCCGAGTGCTCAGGAGCTGATCCTTGACTTTAGGTGTCCTTTGTCTGCAAAATGAAAAAGTGATAATTATATAGCTGCTGCTTCATGGAGACTGTTGACAAAATCATTAGTATTAAAGTACATGGAAGTGTTTTTGGGAGATTGAAAACACAATACCTATTCAGAAAATGTGTAACAGCACAGTGTTAGTGTCTGGTCAGTAGGAAACAGTAGAGTCCACTAGGGATTGATAGGGAGTTGGAGTTGTGAGATTAATGACTCAGACCACCAAGGTTCTGTAGACTCCAGGCCTGCATCAGTGGTCAAACTCAGAACAAGTATCAGGCCGGGGACCAGGCAGCAGACCTATGGGTATGGAAGACAAACAGGAGCAAAATGGACAAAGAGAGGAGTCCAGAGTTCCGGTGAGCTACTCCGCAAATAAAGACTCAAGAGATAAAGGCTTGATGGGCAGCTTAGAAGCCTGAAGGAGATCTGCAGTGCCACCCATATCTATATTGAGGCAGTGCTGGCCTGTGTCCCACAAGCTGGTTCTCAGCTGACTCTGAGGGCAGCACAAATCTCGCAGTGGCTGCCTTGGCAGTGATGTGTCCTCTGCTCGCTATCTGGCTTCTCCTACAATCTGGGATGCTCTGAGTAGGTTGCCTTCATCAAGTTCTTTGAATGCCCCAGGCACTTTGTCATTTGAGGGTCTTCATTTTTGAATTCCCTCAGCTCTTTCTATGGCCTTTACCTTCATGTCTACTGGGGGCAGATGTTATCTCCTAAGAGAGGCTCTCCCTTCTCACCCATCTAATGTGGCCCTCCAGGGAACCCGCATATTCTACTCCTCTGTGTTTTCTTAATTGAGTTATCACAAACTGAAATCCTACCTTATGTTTGTTTATTGTCTCAGTCTCATTCCCTACAGGAGAAAATAGCTCAATGAGATTAGCACACAATGCCTGCCTTAACAGGACTGGTCTTCAGTACCTGGAGCAACCCTTGGGCACAATGTATGCTCTAAGATATATACATACATACATACATACATATATATATGTATATATATGTGTGTGTTTGTGTTGAATTAATGAAAAAGAAAACTAAAGAATTAGAATGCAGATGAAAAGTCAGCACCTGACAGATGCGAGTAGGGAAGGCATTCTGCAAATGTGGTGTTTGATTAACAGTCATGTAGAGGCAAGAAGTATATTCTGGAAAAATCTCAAGTAAAAAATGATTTAAATGCATATTTATTCTCTGCATTTCAAAATTTGGAAGAAAACCAGGTTAATTGAGCTCTGTATGTTTAAAATGCCTGTTTATTATTGTTATTATTAATTATTATAGAAAACTTGGATCAGATTAAAACAACAGGAAGCGGGTTTTTATTTTTAATTAGCCCAATTCAAGCCATAACCTTATCAGCAACAAAGGCTTTTCTTTACTCCATGATTCATAAATTTGCTGATGTTTGGGTCATTTCATTTGTTAAATGGTGGTAGAAAAGGAAGTTGAAAATTTTAAGGTAGTGTTAGCTAGCAAACGTAT